CCAGGCCAAAGCTTCCCCAACCCCCTTCCCAGAGTCCTTCAGGCCCTCTGGAGCTGGGACGATGATGGGAGCCTGCAGCCAGCCACTTCCTGGCTGGGCCCCTGAGCGAGCTCTTTACCACTCTTGAGCTTTGGGTTTCTGCACCTGTAAAATGGAAGTAATGACATCACCTACCTTAGAAGGTTGGCAGTATGTACATAAAGCGCCTAGCTATGCTCCTTACTTCATTAACCTGTAATGCCTCTTAACTGCCTAGGCCAGTGGTCGGCAAGCTCATTAGTCAACAAAGCGGTAAACCGTGGCTCACGAGCCGCATATGGCTCTTGAGTTGTAGTTTGCAGACCACTGGCCTAGGGCCTAGGTTTGCCTCTCTGTTGACTAATGAGTTTGCCAACCACTGCCCTAGGGGGTCATCAACTCCAAACACTGAGTATGGGGATTTAAAGGAGAAATTATCCATTATATCTTGCTAGAGGCCCAGTGCACAAATCTGTGCACTGGGGGTAGGGGTCCCTCAGCGGGGCTGTGACCCAGGAATCGGGCCTAAGCCAGCAGGTGGACATCCCTCTCGCAGTCCAGGACCCCTTGCTCTTTACTGCCCACCTGCTCACTGCTCCTCAGTGCTGTCATGGAGGCAGGAGAGTTTCCCTCTGCCACCACTGCACTCACCAGCCAGGAGCCCGGCTTCTGGCTGAGCAGCACTCCCCCTGTGGGAGCGCTGCGGCTCGTTTGCGGGTCGGCAAACTGCGGCTCGTTTGAGAGCCACATGCGAGAGCCACATGCAGTTCTTTGGCCCCTTGAGTGTGGCTCTTCCAAAAGCACTAACAAAGGGGCCCCTGAAACACTGTAATTAGAGGCTTGGAATTTAACCGTAGACAGCAAAGGGAAGCAGTGAGGAGCCTGTGCTTGAAGGAGCCCCACTGTTACTGACCACCAGGGGGCAGCTCCTGCATGGAGCATCTTCCCCCTGGTGGTCAGTGTGCATCATAGCAACTGGTCGTTCTGATCATTCCGCCGTTACATTCACTTAGGATTTTATTATATAAGTACTCCTCGTAACCCTTCTTCTGATAGACTGAAATTGTTTTCAGAAGGACAGAAATAAAGGACAACAATGCACACACGATGGGCTCCTGGTCTGCAATATGTGCCCCGCAATGGCCCTCTGATCACACTGGAGAAATACTGGGCATGGGAATTGATACTGAATAACAACAGCTGAACGTGAATGCCTGCCACGTGTCTGCCTGATGTGTCCCAAGGATGCCAGACAGACTAACTCATTTACTCTGTGGTGTGCCAGTAAACAATGAACAACTGGCTGGGGTTGGGGGTGAAGGATGGGGTTCTGAGGGGAGTCCTGATGTGTACTGCCAGTCTCCATGGCATACGGGTAACTGCTCTTACTATGGTTGACTTCAAGATCCCGACCAGCCGTTACTGCGTGAGGAGTGGGAAGAGGCACTAACAATCGGCTCTCATGAGGCTGCCAGTTGGAGGAGACTGAGGTTTATATTAGAGACCCCAGCTCCAGTGAGATGACTGGGGTGAGTTACTAGGTGGCTTAGTAAGAACAGAGGGAGGATGCAGAGGGTGGGAAGAAAACTAACACATGCCCAAGACTCGGTGCCTCCTTGGCAGCATCCTTCCTTCAGAGGACGGTTCATGACTGCTTCCCTTTGCTGTCTAAGGTTAAATTCCAAGCCCCTAACTACAGTGTTTCAGGGGGGCCTTTGCTAGTCCTTTGGGGGAGGGAATGGGGAGAGGTCCTGCTATGGACTGCATGTGCCCCCACAAAATTTATACGTAGAATCTCCAACGCGATGGTATTAGGAGGCGGGGCCTTTGGGAGGCAATTAGGCTGTGAGGGTGGGGCCCCCGTGATGGGACCCGTGTCCTTTTTAAGAACAGGAGAGCTCTCGGCCCTTTGAGGACACCGACACTGTATCCGCTGGTGCCTTGATCTTGGGTTTCTCAGACTCTGAACCTTGAGAAATTAGCATCTGCTGTACAAGCCAGTCTACGCAATTTTTGGTAAAGCAGCCCAACTCAGACAGATCCCCGTATGCATGTGCTTTAAGAGGGTCCTTCCTACTTTTTGATAAAACTATCTTAACGGATTATGCTCTAAAAAGAGAAAAATAGTTTAGCATTGTGCTATTTCTTCTTCTTTTCTGCTACCACCAGCAACTTTAAAACCTAGTTCTTTGCCAAAACCGGTTTGGCTCAGTGGATAGAGCGTCGGCCTGCGGAGTGAAAGGTCCTGGGTTTGATTCTGGTCCAAGGGCATGTACCTTGGTTGCGAGCAAATTCCCCTGTGGGGGGTGTGCAGGAGGCAGCTGATCGATGTTTCTCTCTCATCGATGTTTCTGATTCTCTATACCTCTCTTCCTCTCTGTAAAACCCAGGTCTTAGCCACTGTCTCAGGCACCTGTGACACCGCAATGTAAACCAGCACCACGGCCGGTGAGCCAGAGGCAGCCTGGGATTGCTCCCCGAGAGATCCCTATGCCTGCCTGACCCTGGGCCAGACATTTGCTCCCTGCCGCCAGCCTGGTTGGAATCGCATCCCCCTGACTCTGGGAGGACACGGGCAGGGCAGAGTGTGCAGGTCCATCCCACAAAGCCTTCCAGACCACTGGGGAGCAGTCCCAGGATTTCTAGGATCACCGTTACATGTAAAAATATAAAACACAATCAGAGTTTAAAGACACCTTGGAAATCATTTCTCATTTTCTTCTAATAAAAAGGACAAGTAAATTGTATCAAGGGCCCGGTTTATCATTATGGTTCTCTCCTCCCCCTAGACCCGTAGTCGGCAAACAGCGGCTCTCGAGCCACATGCGGTTCTTCGGCCCCTTGAGTTTTTAGCAAAGGCCAGCTTAGGAGGACCCTAATTAACTTAATAACAATGTACCTACCTATATAGTTTAAGTTTAAAAAATTTGGCTCTCAAAAGAAATTTCAATCATCCTACTGTTGATATTTGGCTCTGTTGACTAATGAGTTTGCCGACCACTGGCCTAGACCACTGGTTCTCAATCAGGGGTGGCTCTGCCCTCCAGGGATGTTTAGCAACGACTGATTGAGAGACCCTCCTGGCATCTGGTGGGTAGAGGCCAGGGGTGCTGCTCAATACCCCACAGGGCACAGGGCAGCCCCACAATAGTGGTCTAGCCCCGAATGTCCACAGCGCCACAGCTGAGAAACCCTGGTCTATGCATAAAAGACTTTTCCAAAAACTAAAGATATGGCATTCTTATTCCAAGAAGAAATCATATCCACAAATCGTATTTTATTAGCTGTCCAATGCCACCTTCCACTCATGCCCTGTGTTTTAATTAAACGTTAGGAACTAATTAAATTAAACTTTAATTGTAACGTTAGTTCAAATCAATACAATGCTTCCCCCGCCCATCCCCGAACACATCAACAACTTGAATGTTTTTGAAGCATTTCAACAATGACTCGACTGTGGGCAAACAGAAGACAAGGAATCAGAGATAATTAGCTCGTACAACTGGTGCTGGCTATTAAATAAATAATTTTCACATGAATGTAAGAAACCACTCAGTGTTAAGTGTATTTATTTATCATATTTTTTAATAGTTGGAAATTGTAATAAAATGCAATTTTCAGAAGCATCTTGGCGATGGAGTAGAACAGCTTCGTTTAAAAAAGAATGAAGTTACTCCCCCCCCCCACCCGCCCCCGGGACGGGGGTGGGTGAACATGTAGAAAACCTCCCGTGCCCGGACACTCGGGCCGATGGAGTGATCCTGCACAAAATACACTTTCCTGCAGTTCCTCTCGTGGAAGCCAGCAGCCAGGAAGAGCACCCTGCTTGGGAAAGAGAGCGTTTGGTTCACGCAGTGTACTTTGGTTTATTTAAACAGGTAAGAAAGTAGTCCCCAGTTCTCTCTTGCCAAAAAAAATGTGTTTTCTGACTTTTAAATAAATCAAGCTACTGCCAGCCTGAATGAGTTTTCTTTTCTGTTGAGGTTAAAAAAAAAAAAAGGATATTTGTATTTCCCTCCAGTGTTCAGTCGTTCCTCTTCGGAAATATACTGCAGATACAGTCTGGTTATAGCTTGGTCCTCGGCAGCCCCACGCCATGCCCCCCGCCTGCTGAAGGTCTGACGCGGTGCCTGACAGGCCCAGCGTCGGGCAGGTCCCCGGATGTGGTATCCACCTCTGAATGGAAAGTTCTCCTAATGCATCTCAAAGTATCTTCTTAAAAAACATAAAAGTGTACGCTAGCTTGTGCTCTCTTTAGTAAGGCTTGCGAATGGGTCATTAAATAAGCAAAATATAACTCTTGAGCAAAAGAAAATGCGATTTTTAAATAAAAGAAACAAATGGAGATGGTTAAAACTGCAACCAAAAAGATGAGATTATTTTTGGTTAATTTGGGGGGAAATGACAACAAGTTATGATTTCTTTCTTTCTCTTTTTCTTTTTTTTTTAGTCCACTTGGTTTTGCTTAACACACTCACAAGGATCGTCAAGTTTACAGTCTCCTCGCCTGCCTTGTTTTAGCATTCCTAGACACCAGAGACCTACTGATGCAATCATCCCGCTGGAGAAAATGTTTGCCTTTCATTCTAATGAACTTTTTACAAAACCGGTCTTCATTCATGAATATTGCCATGAGCACAGAAAGCAACAGACCTCGCTTCGCTGCAAACACAATCACAGCCTCCACGGGGCCGAGCGCACCACCTGGACCACCATTCTCCTTCCTCAGATGCTGCAAAGGATCCTTGGGGCTACTTCGGCAGGCAAAGCGGGAGATTTGCATTCCTGCTGCATAGAACCACACAGGCAGAAACCAGAAGCGCTCTCCCTTTGTTTGTTACCAATCAGTGTTTTTTTAAACTTCTTTGTTTGCCCTTTATGGAAGTCGTTTCCTTGTTGCAGCCACTTGTAGCAGGTTCATTGCAAAAGGAAAAAAAACACACGAACAAAAAAACATCTCCCCCAACCGTAATCCTGGGAGTTCATGTTTTTTTGCTGCTGGACTTCTGTTTCTGCTTGCGAAGGTGAGCCTCGATCTCGTGCCGGAAGACCAGCATGCCCAGCTGCCCGTGGGAGGCCTCGTTCATGGCCTTGGACTGCATGCACATCTTGTACTGCTCGGGGGTCAGCTCGTCCACGCAGCGCTTCTCGTGCCAGAGGTGGAAGAGGCCCCGCACGGGCGTGCGCACCACTATGAGGTTGCTGTGCAGGTACTTGCGGTACAGGTGCACGTCCTCTCCGCCCCAGCCTTTGATGTCCAGGTCAAACCCGCCTGAAAGGAGAGAACACACTGCTGAGTCACGCCAGCCCGCGTCCCCTGCTTCCCGGCGCTGCACACGCACAGAACTGCATGAAGACAAGAAGCGGTGAGGAGAGCTGTGTGCCGCCACCCCTCCGAGGTCTGAGTGTCCATCCATGTCAGAGAACTCAGAATTCTCGAACACTGAGGACCTTTATGGAAGCTAGTACCAACTCCCAGAGGTTGACCTGGCTGCAAACAGAATCCCAGCATTTGCCCGCCTCCGAGAGCTGTCAGCAGTGCTAGTAATGAGCCCCAGCCTCCAACTGAGAGCTGTAGAAGCACCCCACCTTCCACCCGAGCCCTCCAGATGAAAATTCCCGTGTGAATGTGACCTCCTCCTGCCACTTTAATGGAATACACCAGAGGTGGGCAGTGGGAAATAGTAAAACAGGATCTCAGTGTTAAAAATAAATAAATCACATCCCACAAAAGCACCCTTCCTTTTGGAGACTAACATGGTCCCCAAACGCTGGTGAAATGAGTCCTGTTAAAGGGACCAGCCACAGTCAGTTCTGAGGTTCCACGCCAACAATCCTGTTTCACGTAGGAATGGACAAGGAGAGTAACGGTGCCCTAAACCTGTGGTCGGCAAACTGCAGCTCGTGAGCCACATGTGGCTCTTTGCCCCTTGAGTGTGGCTCTTCCACAAAATACCACGGCCTGGGCAAGTCTTATTTTGAAGAAGTGGCATTAGAAGAAGTTTAAGTTTAAAAAATTTGGCTCTCAAGAGAAATTTCACATTGTACTGTTGATATTTGGCTCTGTTGACTAATGAGTTTGCCAACCACTGCCCTCAACTCTCACCCAAGGTTGAGATGCCCCTGGTTGGTTTTTAACCTAAAGTCTGCCATGCCTCAAGTAGAACCAAAGAAAAAGTTGGCCTCTCTTTGTCCTAGTTCCTTGTCTCCCCTGGGAGATTTCTCCAACTCGTACAAGACAGAGTGAGGTGATTCTCAACACCTTCTCTCAGTTATCACAGAGCCCTGTGTCCCCACACAATGCTGCTCCGATCAAGGCTATTATTGCTGGACCCCTCGGAGAGGGCTTCCCACGCATAGAGACCCCTGATCACTCACTCCCAAGACTTCACTGCCCCCACCCCTGGTCCATGTATACGAGGGCTCCATCTTCCCCTGAACAGTGTACAGGCAGAGACCATTCTGAGTCAGGGGTCTGGAATCTGAGACTTGGTTCTTATCCAAGCTCCCACTTTACCTCTCGTGAGCTCTGGTTTCTCTGTCCTGAAATGAAGTAGGTGTCATAACCCAACGAGACAGTCATGTAAGGGCCAGTGCTTAGTTCGCTATGACTGATTTATGATTCCCATCGGTATCATTACATCTTATTAAGTAAAAGTTATGTGAGTATGTGATGCTTGCAAATGAATGCAAGGTTGCAAAGAATAATGGGGGACAGATGTAACCCAAAGATTCCTTCTGAGCTTATAGCAACAGCCGACTGAGAAAGAGCACCTTCCCAGCCGCCATTCCCATGTTTTTTCTGGTATATCAACGCCCCGTCTTTGGGGGGGGAAATGTATTATCACCCCACATTTGATAAATAAGGATCATCTCAAAATACTCTCTCCCTGTATATAGAGCAAGGAAACAGCTTCTTAAAATGGAAATCTCTTTAGAAATAAAATATATATATATATATATATATATATATATATATATATGTATAATTTTGGAAACTGATTTACACAAAATCATTTAGGCTTATTTCTTAAACAAATCAAAGCACACCTGTGGTTCGCTGCTGGTTATCCAGGCTCCCGCTCCTGGGAGACTGGCTTCCTAGGAGCACTGCGGCTGCTTATGAGACCTGACTGCAAGCTGTTTGAGTTTTATTTTTATTTTTAACTGGTGATTCCTGCGAGCACTCTGCAGGCCCTGACCAAAACCTGGGGCTGCTCAGATAGACTCATGCACCTTAAAAAGAGAAGCTGCAGGCCTTGGGCTGAAGGGGGAGTAGACAGGAGAGAGCAAGTGGAGCCAGAGCCCAAGATCGAGGTTTCTGGCCTGATCACTCACTCCCAAGTACCTATCACCCACAATTCTACTCTCTTCAGAGGCCCATTGAGTTACGACTGGCGTGGGGAGAGAGTGTGGAACTGCCAAGGGGGACAACATCCTGACCATGTCCCTCACTTGGAATCTGAGAACCTTGGTCTCCTCACCTGCAACAGAAGGGCCTGCCCTGTCTGTGCTCTGGGAATGTGTGTGTGTGTGTGCACAGTGACGGTACACTCAGAGCTTCAGGTGACATCTGGAATTTTTGAAGGTACAGCAGATTTTCCAAGATTTCCTGATGTGGGATTTTCTAAAATTCCCCATGTCACCCTATTTTTTTTTTTAATGGATTCCCCCTACTGGGGAGGCCCAGGATGGCCTCCATGATGGGGCACAGGAGCCAGACAGGTTGGAAGTCAGCACTAGGTCTAGGGGAACCATTTGGACGATGTCTTTATCCAATGAGCTGCCCCGAATCCGCAGAGGGGAGCCTTCTGTGGGGTGACTGAGAGGTGCTGGTGGAGATTACAGGGGTTAAAGCGCTGCACACTCCCAGGCCACCCACTGGTCCAGCTCCAAGCCCCTGACAAGAGGAATGAACCTGAGCTGCCTTTTCTTAACAAGTGGCACCTCCTTTGCCACCAGGCAACTTGGAAGCTGAACGGCCAGGCTCCCTCACAGCCCTTCCCTGGCCTCTAGGTGGCAGTAGAGATGCAGACTTGTTGCCAGTGGGTCTGCCTTACCTATGTTGATGAAGTCTGACCGGTACTGACATGTCATCCCAAATCCAAAGTCCCTCCAAAATCCAGTTTCCTTCTTTATGACCTGGAGGGAAAGCACCGTCATGTGAGAGGGAAGGACAGAGTGGATAACAAGAAACAGAGCTTATTCACATTAAGCAATGTTAAAAAGCAAGCCCATCCCCATCCCCGCCCTGATAAACAGCCGCAGCCCCATAAGGGAAATGCAGATGGATCTGAGTCCTTCTGGACGGTTAGGAACACAGTCAGCTCCCCAATCCCAACACAGGGCCTTGTGATTTTTGGCACCTCTGGGCTGGAATGTTTCTAGGGTACAAGGCATGGAAACACACACACACACACTCTCTCTCTCTCTTTCTCTCTCTCTCTCAAAAACAAATCAGGGAGCAAGTTTTTGAGCGGCGCCATGGAAAAGCCACCTACGTGTCTGGCCCGACACCAGTGCCAGCGAGAATTGGAGGCCTCGGCCCCTCACACAGGGCCGGGCTGGGAGCCAGCAAAGGGCTCAGGAAGTTGAGAGAGAACAACTCGGGATTCAGCTGCCCTGGCACCGCGCACACCCGGAGCTCCCCCGGGCAATGAAAGGAAAACCCGAGGCTGCAGCGTGTGACTCGGGCTCCGCTCCTGCTTGTGGAGGAACAGGGCATGGCGCGTCCAGGTTATGAAGAAAGACTCTGTCCATTCATCTTTGCTTTCCAGCCAAACGGCTCCCCAAAGCATCTGCCGGTCGTTGCCAGGCGGCCAGGCTGCCGAGAGGCCATCCAAGCCGTGACGGCCTTCCAAAAGCCAGCCCTGGCCCTGCCCAACCTCTTACTTTGCGAGTAAATTTCCAAGGTTCTGGCTGAAGCAGCAGCAAGACGTTGACAAAGTTTGCTTCTATATTTTTGGCTGAGGTAATTCTGGGAATGGTCAGGGGGCCTATTTTAATCGCTATTTTTCATGACTCATTTTTGAGTTCACAGAGGTGCTTCCAGGAAAGGAAGTCCCCTGGGTGGGTGGATGGGTGAAGGAGAGGCTGCACCACATCCCCATCCACACGGATTGCTGCCTTTCCCATCGGGGATGCCCGGCTCTATTCACAGCTAAGGAGACACAGTGTGCGTCTCGTCCCATCTTGATCACTGGCTGGCTTTTCTGCCTCAGGTAGTGAAAACCAAGAAATATCTTTTTCTTTGAGAAGGCTCCAGAAGGCGCATGAGGACATTTGGCCACGCCTACAGGCCATCTACGAGGCTGGCCCGATCCCGACGCCCCACCAGTACCGGCCGGGAGACTGGGTCTTTGTCAAAAGACACCGCCGGGAGACACTTGAACCACGTTGGAAAGGACCATACATCGTAGTGCTGACGACGCCCACCGCCCTCAAAGTGGACGGCATTGCGACCTGGGTCCACCACACCCATGTTCGGCCAGCTGACTCCTCTGCGATCCGGGAAGATTTCGCCAACGGATGGAGCATCGACCGAGACCGAGACAACCCCCTCAAGCTCAAGTTACGACGTACTCAACCTGCCTGATGAAATTTTGTTTGTGGCCAGCTGCAGGGGTCCCTACCCCCCATACACTGGTGGGGGGGCGGGGAGACTCACTTCTGACCTGGACACTCCTGACCCCGCTGTGCAGTCTTGTGTCTCCACTGGACACATCTCGTGAACTCCCCCAAAATGTCAGATCAGGGCACTGGGAAGGAGGAACTTTATGCACCCTTCAGAAGTGCAAACGGTCCCATGATTGGGCCTATTAAGTCTCAAGACAAGGGGGGAAATGAGAGGGCAGGGCGGGGTGAGGGGGCAGGCGGGGCGAGAGGGCAGGTGGGGTGAGAGGGCAGGTGGGGGCGGGTCCAGCTCCAGGTAACTGGACCCTAGGTCTAACCCAACCAATCAGGTCAGCCAAGGTAGCAGCACCACCCTCCCTATAAAACCCATTGATATGTTAAGTTCTTCCTCTTTCTCGCCCATGCCCTCGGTGTAGGTGAGACTGGGCTCGGACTAGTCCGAAATAAATACAGACTCTCTGCAATTGCATTGGATTCGGCTCCCTGGCAGTCTTTGGGGTTTATGACACTTGGGCACAACAGTAGGCCCCACACTTCTTCGAGTCCCTGTTTCCTTTCCAATAACTGAGGAGGTTGAGCTAAACCATCCCTAAGGTCTCTTCCAGCTCTAAGATCCAAACATTGATCCTATCACTACTATTTCACCTCCCTGAAGTTTCCCTGTATCTCTTCCACAGGCTACGCTGTATTGGAAAAACGGCTTGCAGAAGGGCTGATGAATTTGAACCCTTTTTTACTCCGGGACCTAGGAAACAATCTTATTTTCACTGCTACCTCCACGGGGATGCCGCTTGCACTGCTGCCACAGAAAACCAAGGCCACCAGCGGTTCTGCCGGCTACTGTGGTCCCCAGCACACGCCCTCCAATCCTTCTTCAGAACAAAGGCCTACGATACAAACCTCCCAAGTGACAAGACAATTTCATTAGTATCAACCGGAAAGGTTTTCCAGGGCAGGAAAGTAAAAAAGAAAAAAAGAGAAAAAAAGAAAGAAAGAAAGAAAGAAAGAAAATGACTCTATGAGTCATCTTAAAAACTGGTTTCTGCTTCATCCCTGTTATATCAGGTACCGTATTTTCCAGTGTATAAGACAATTTTTGAAACAAAAAAAAGTCAACCAAAAATCAGGGGCAAAAGACCAAAATTGCACAAAAATTACCTGCAGATCTTGATGGCAAAGTAAGTCTTTTCTTTAAAGTGGGGGTTAGTCTTATACAGCGAATATAGGCCTAAACCTATGTTTTAACTGTAAAATTAGGGGGTCGTCTTATACGCAGGAAAATACGGTAAGTTGTTCCTGATGCAGCTACTGGTTTAATATCCCTTCCCCCCCCCCCCCCCCCCCCCCAGGATGCAGACAATTTTTCTAAGCTTCTGGATAAAAGTGGAGTCGAAGAATAGAGCCAGCATCCAACTTCACATACGTGGCGGAGGTCTATATGAGTGTAAATGAGAAAGGTCCAAACAGGGAAAACAATGGGCCAGGGCTTGAGAAGAAAGACAAAGGGGCGTGGGTTGCAAGAAGTAGCCAGGGCGGGGGTGAGTGGACACAGTACCCGGTAACCCTGCGAACGGTGAGGAATGGCCCTCAGCTGCAGACGGCGTGACAGAAACAAATGGATGTGTGAGCTGGGAAGGAGCTACGTAAATACGTATTAACGTTGGCTTTAATGTGAGCAAGTCACTGTCTGAAGAGCCCTGGGTGGGAACCGATCGTGCCCACAGCACATGCTGTCAGGGCGAGATGGAGTGCACTTATTAGAGTTCACTTATTAAGGGCCCACCACACGCAGCTGCGCGGAGCCGCTGACTGGAGGGGTGCCCTGGACCAGCAGCCGAGCTGGGAGTGAGCGCTCCCCAGTGCACATCAGATCACAGCACGGTCCCACTTAAAGCCCTGCCGGGGTTTTAATTGCATGCTCTCTAATGCAATTAGAGTGAAATCCACGAGGAAACCTCCAGCCTGCAAAGGTCCCTCGGCACCTGGCCCCTGCCTGCCTTGCCCAGCTCATGTGCCCCTTGTATTACAGACCCCTTATATTCTGCCCCGTGAACTCGCCTAACTGACAGGTCTCCACAGCTGAATACCCGCAAAGGTCCCTCCCAGGTTCACCCTTTCCCTGCTCACCCCTGGGCTCTGCTCCAATGTCACTGCTCAGAGTCATTCATCCAGGCCCTTCCAGCCACTGTCAACCCTTCCCAGCCATGCCACACTCTACACCAGTGTTCCCCAAACTTCTCTCATGACGAGGATCACCCGGTGGAGTTGTTAAAATACAGATTCCTGAATCCCAACTAAGATGTGCTAAACTAAAATTTTGGGAAACATATAGGTAAAATTGTATACTTAAACTAATGCTTAACTAGTGTATACTTAACAACTCCACCAGGTGATTCTCCAGGTGATCATGAGAGAAGTTTGGGAAACACTGCTCTACACCATCACCCGGCTGATGTTCTCTATGAACAAGCTCTCTGAAATCACGCTGTTGTATTTATTTCTCGGTTAGCCGACTGTCTTCACCCACCACCTCTGGTGAGTGCAAGCTTAGTCTCCAGCACCCAGATCACTGTCTCTCACGTAGCGAGACTCAATAAATACAGAAAGTCATCAGTTAACATCATTGATGGATTCTGCGACTTCAAGCCCAATTACGTACATCAAAATCAATTTTACCGTAGGCTAATTGATATAAACAGGAGTTGAGTTCCTACTCAGGCATCTCATTAATATTATAATGAACCAACGTGAACAAAAGGAATTTATCTGAGGACCTGCTACACTTCTCTGATGAACAAATGAGGAGCAGAGACAACATCAAGCCAGTGGAAATGTACATGGTCCAAGCCCAGAATCTTGCCAGGGAGTGGACCCGCGAAGGCCTAGGAATTCCTTTGGGAAAGCCCTCAGAACTGTCACTCTGGACCAGCAGCCAAAAACACTCTCCCCTTCCCGGGGTCTAAGCAGAGGGCTTAACTTCTTAGCACCTTTGCCTGAGGTATAAGGAGCGCCTCTCTTCTGGTCAAGCATTGAACAGACACACACCAGTCTAGGAGGAAGAAGAAGCCCTAAGATAGAGATTAGACTTTAAGAGAGAAACATCTCCTCCTTCTGTCCTGAATTTCCCAATGTCTTTTCAAGTGCTACCCTCACTTTTAACAATTTCTGTCTAGGGCCAGCCTCCTCTTAGCTCTCTGAACCACCTTGGATCCCATCGGTGCACCACAGGGCAGGAAAACAACAGAAAGGACAGTTCTCCCACAGGAAGTTGCCAGGCCTTCTGCTCTGTGGGTGATTCCTATGATTGGGGTGATTATGTTCCCTTAGGAGCAAAACACAAGGCAAACATCAGCACCTCCCTCCAAAGACAGGGGAAGGCGGCCACCCTGCAGGTACACAGGGGCTAGGGTGGCAGGCAGCGCCTGTCTGTTTTCATGGCACTGACTTGGACAACCACCCATGAAGTAATCTGGGCCCTAAAATAAAATAAAAGTAACATATATTCAGGT